ACTATTCAGAATTCTCTTACTGGCATAGATAAGGGAGTTTATAGGAGAGGGTTTAAAGGACAGGGTTTTTAACACCTTGAGGCAAGTTACTATACTAATATTCAGAATGTGTGGGTGAAATGGAACTTTCTTTACTAAGTTCTCCCACAGGAGAAGGGAGGGTAGGAAAGTAGGCACTTTCAGATTTATCTTAAATGCACTTATTTAAAATTATCTGTTCCCAAGTAAGCCATGGCAAATTTTCATTGTAACCCCAAGGTACCCTTACTTCAATGTAGGAGTAAATCACTACTAAGTAAAATCTAAGCTTGGCCAACCTTTCCAGGGTCATCTCTTACAATATAATGTGTATACACACCACTTTCCCACTACAATTTACTATTTGCAGGTTTCTGAGCCCCATGCTGTTCACATCTTTTGACCATTTACTAGCTGATGGACAGCTCTTAAACTATTAAGACCTCTGTGGAGATAGTTCCCTAAAAGGAAAGGAGCAACAGTGCATTATCCAATAACACATGCCAAATTATAGCATAACACGTCAAACACTCCTTTATATATTTCCTTTTACTAGCTGAAAGCTCCTTGGGCAGAGGGACCTATTTTATTTACCCTCAAGATGATTTTGAGCTTAGTATAAATAGCAGGTGCTTAATATTAGCTGAATGAAAAACTAAACACCAACCATCTCAATTTCTTCTTATCAGTATGACTGCTTCCAATTTATATTAGGAAATCCAACTAGCCCCATTTTCTCAAATTCCTATTAATGTTTTTACATCAAATTACTCTCATTATGACTTCAAGCAATGGAAAACATTTCCACAAAGTATTAAACAATGGGTATTTTACATGCTTCCTGTTTATTATGCAAATAACTTCATAACTAGGATATCCTAAAAACCATACTTTTCTCAGTGATGGTAGCATGAAAAGTTTACATCAATGACGTCAATGTAATTTCCTACATGTTTTATCTTCTTTGTGTTTTAAGAGAGGCAAGAAGGAAAGCTGCTTTGTCTCTTTAGTATTTTGAACAGAAAATTATTTTACTATTGGGTGAATTAAGAGAGCCAGGATATTATAAATAGCAAAATTACCTCCAAATATTCTGATTCTTTCTCTGTGTGTAACATATTTGTTTCTATCCATTTAGCTGTAAATATAAAAAAGCTCTGTTCTAAAATATTGTCTCACTGGATTAAAGTGGGGACCTGTACTATCACCCATCTCAAAATCTCCAAATACAAGACCAAATTTCACGTCTGAAGTAGACAGCATGTGATTGAGCAGAAACACCTAGTGGTAATCATTACTAATGTAAACACTAGAAAATATTGGGGTTCAAGATCTTCTTTAACAGTAGAAGTTATTTTATAATTGAAGATATAAAGTCATACTGTTATTCTTGTCAATTCAAATCCAGAAGAGAGTATGGTTGATTTCTCAATGCCCAGCAACCATCATGTATGTCTGGTAGCTGTCCACATTAAAACAAAAGTACTATTAAACCAAATGACATGTCTTCAAAATGATCACTAACTATGATAAATAACTCAAGATAAGTAATTGAGGCTTGTTTGTTTGTTTTTATATATTCACCAGAAATGAATTGGGATAATAATGTAAGCTAGGAAAATAAAATGAGCCCATGTTTTCTGTTTACTAATAATCATGTATAGCACTAAGAAAGTAAAGAAAACCCAAACAAAACCATCAGCAACTTAAAGCAGGTGGTACCTGCTCCACTAACTTCAACGTTACTTTGTAAATTTTCACCATAACAAAGTTTAGATTTAGGTTTTCTAAATGAAGAGCATCTAACAGCACGTTACAAAACATGTTCTTTTGTAAAAATGGCCCCTGATTATTGAAACCATATCCTTAATCACTCCAAGTAAATGGTCTACAGTACACATCAATTTTTCTGATTTCTATTTGTAAATCAAATACAGTTTTTGCAAAACGACCCAGTGGTTAAAAGATCCTTTCTCCACTTATTTGCCATTTGAACTGATGGTAGCCACAATAACACCAACATACACAACCCTAAGAATTTGATTTGAAAAAGGTATTAAGTTAAATCATATTTACAAATATTTAGTCATCGTGCAAATTAATCTAGATGTCTGTCATGTGATTAAAAGCCCAACTGTCCAGTGAAACTCACACACTATATCTACTCTTCACTGTGTGAACTTTGAACAAGTATTCCATGTGTATGTGGCTATATTTCAGCATCTGTAACCATGCCATATGATAAGGTAGCCACTAACTTCATTTGGTTATTTAAATTCAAATTCCATTCCTCAGTAGCACCTGGAACATTTCGAATGGTCAACAGCCAGAAGTGATCAAATGCTACCATACTGACCAATGGAGACATGATTAAAATAAACTGGATGGTAAGACTGAGAGCAACAAGTAGGAAAAGGGAAACAGGGGAACAAATGACTATGTTAGATTAGCTGGTCAGAAACAGTCTCTGAGAGGTTGACATCTGAGCTGAGGCTTGAAAGACAAGAGGCAGCTAGCATGCACAGATCTACACAGAGCATCAAGAGCAAGGGCAAAGGCCTCAGGCAAACCTAAGTATGTTTGGAACAAGAAAGCTGGGGCTCAGCACCTTGTAAGATAGTAATAACTTTGGATAATATATGAAGCACAACTACAGTCCTAGAGGTATATAAAAAGAGAATGCTATAATCTAAATTATGTCTTAAAAGCTTACTTTGACTATTTTTAGGAACTAATTACCAGATATCCAAGGAGGAAGAAGGAAAAATCTGTTTGAAGAAGTGTGGTGCCTTTGTCAGGAGAAAGCTGCCAGGGAAGGGGTCAGCAGTGGAAAGGAAAAAATGTGTTCTTTCTCTACATCCTTGTCTACTGCCCTGTATCAACAATCTTTCACAGCCAGGATCCTTGAAGGTGCCAACTTCTTTTTTGTTATCATTTTCTTCCTTTAACTCCTCCACATTTTGTAAATATTTTTCCTCAAACCAGCAGGCAATTTCTGTACTTAGCCAAGCTCTGTTGTATTGGCACCTGCCGACCCACTCTTCCTCATCTCTCTCCTCCCTCAGCTCCAGGACTCTTAACGGGGTTTCTAAAGAACAACCATCTCAATTTCTTTATTTTATTCTAAGTCTTCCTGGTCAAACCTCCTGGACTCCTAAGCTTCAGTGCTCACCTCATTCAGTATTCATTTCACCATATACACAATCCTTGCGATCAAACTGAAATTTTTTTACCTGGCAGTTCCCAAATTAATATCTCTGGCACAGGACATCCCATTAAGTCTTAAGCCTCTATAGCTAGTGTTCAATCGGACCCCATTACTTGGACAGACCAAACAGTCAAAACGTAATAGGTTAAACTCCCATTTCATATTCTCTCATTATGCACTCTCAATCAAACCAAAGGCCAGAGACCATTCAAGTTCGCCAATCTCCTCCCCAGCTGCAACCTCAAAGGCATCCTCAACTCCCCCTCACTCACCAGATCTTCACTAGGTCCTCACTGTTTCCCCTTCTTAATCTTTCCAGCCTAGTCCTCCCTATCAAGCTCACATCACTTCTTGCCATAGGTTACTAGATACTCAACCAATTTCATGCTTCCAAGCTCTCCAACACACTGCAACACATAACAGGTATCTCACTTAACATGCACAGATATCTGATCACCCCATGTGTCTGCTTACAGCCTTCCAGAGGCAACTCACTACTTTCACAGGTTCTCATGCCAACCTCCTTATTACCTTTATAATCTCACCTTCTTCCTTCACATCCTTCTCTTCAGTCATTCCCCTTTTCTGAGTTCTCTATTGTGCCATTTCAGGCCTCCCTTCCACAGCATATGCAATTACCAGTTCCTATTCATCTAACTACTTCAAAGGTAAGCTTAAGCATCACCACTTCAAGGTGTCCCCAGGTGTCTCACACAGACACCCCAATCGCACTGTAGGACGGCTGGTAACTTTTGCATTCCTTGAACTATATGTTCCTAGAGGAGCTTACCGCCAACCAAATGACTTGATTTGTTAATATTTGCCAGGCAAAGCAAATATTCACATGGTTTTGATTTGGGTGGTCCTCTAAATTTTAAGAGAATGGAAAAAGCAGTTTTACTGGGCTTTTTATAGCCATCCCAGTAAAGCCCAATGAGGCAGCGCTGTACACAGAGCCCAAGGTGGTCCCTACTGAGACTACTGAGAAAACAGTAAGCACCCCACATACAACCCCTCATTAGGAGATATGTTGGACACGCTGAGGAGCTTTGCAGTATCTAATCACCCAGCCCTGGGATTTTATACGACGAGGACAAGGGCTTATTTAACACAAATGATGATAGTGATGGGTGGAAGCCTTCTCATTTCAAAGTATATTAACTTTTCAGGGCCATGTGACGGTAATTTTAGCTCCTGAGGGAGATTCTCGCTCACTTCCTGACAGGTTATTTTCCTTATTGGAGAAAGGCTTGTTCGTCCTCTGAGGAGTCACTCACTTGCCAATCAGTCGTTTATTCTCTAAATCTGGATGGGGCTGGCAGCAGGAGGAGTGTGGGCGGGTGACGACCAGCACTGGGGACAGGAGGAGGGGCAGCAGGCCCAGTCCCGGGACTGGGACGACGCCGAGAGAGCGCTGACAGCTGGCAGAGATGGGGGAGCAGGATGTGCTGGCAGAGCCGGGAACCCCGGCTGGGTGGGAGGGGATGGAACATAGAATCGATGAGGAGCTAGGAGTCGGCTGGTGGGGTAAGGAGACCAGAGGCAGCAAGACGCAGTCGGGCTGCAGCGCGGCGAGGCTGAGGAGCGAGCGGGGAGTCACGCGAGCGGGGAGTCACAGAGAGGAAGACGCCAGCCGCGCTAGGGCTGCAGCGGCCTGAGAGCTATACCGGCAGTCATGCCCATAAAGGGGCAAGCCGCACGAGCAGGCCCAGAAGCCCGGGGGACTGAAGCGCAGACAGCCCGGCTCAGGGGCGGCGGGGGGCGGGTCACTTACTGGGGTCCCTCCGCACGGCACCGCTGGGGGTCTCCTCCCGCAGGTGAGGGAAGAGGAAGTCCCGGGAGGCCTGGAGGTCCTGGAAGTGGCAGAACTGGACAATGGAGCAGGCCATGGCTCCCGGGACCCCTCGCCGGCACTCAGCTCACCTCACTAGAATACGCCCTGCCGCCGCCGCCGCCGCCCAGCCGAAGGGTTTTGGCCGCACAGGGGCGGGGACACAAGAGCGGAAGCCGTCGCCTCCCCGAGCCCGCCCCCCGGCAAATGGCGCAGGCGCAGTGACTCCCAGCGCCCGGCCGCCGTGGCTCGCGTCACATGACGCGCCCTACGTCGACGTGGAGGTTCTGCGGGTCGTTGCGCCCGCTCCCGGATGGAAGATTTGCGTTTCTCCAGCGTTTTGGCCAGCGGTGATCTCATTGGAAGCGGACCGCAAGGCCTCTGGGCGCTCTGCCGTTTTTTGTTTTTGGCCTTTTTTTTTTTTTTTTTAAATGTGCTGCCTGCTCTTGGCAGCGTCTAGCCATTTAGTCAGTCATTGGCACGATGCTATTTCATAGTTAACGATCTGGGTTAAGCCAGGCAGACCAGTGGGGGATAGTGTAATGCGAGTGTCAGGTTTGGAATAGAGTAATTTCTCTGCTGGGAATCAGCACCCACGAGGTGATAGCTTTAAATGCTGCACCTCTAAATGCCCGTAGTACTATGCACGCATCCTGCAGTACGCGCAGTACGTGCTAGACGCTAGTTTTTATGTCCTGCTTTTGCTTTTTCAGCCATTCATTGAACAAATATGTCGCTGTCTTTTGTAAGCCTGCCGCCATACAAAGCACTGAATAAGTAACAGAACACACACACAAAGATGAATTAACCTGTTCTCACTGAACAAAATTCTAGTAGGAGACAAGGTTATTAACTGAAAGTTATCTCAGTATTCAGCTGAAAATTATCATTCAGGAAAGAAAGAAGAATGAATTGCTATGACAAACCATAACCGGGGAACCTTAACCAGTTTTTCGTACCTTTTGGTGGGTGTGGGGAAAAGGGTTGCAAGGATCAGGAACAGACATTGTTACGAACTCCTAGATGTGACATCTCATTTAATGCCATTTTATCGCCGTAATATCTGGAATAAGGCTTGGCATATAGTAAGTACTTAAATGTTTGCTGGGGAATAAGTGGAATTGAACGTGTCCATAAAGGAAATAGAATAAATGCTTCTTTAATAAAGTGTTTCATAGTTTTCAAAGTACTTTTCCATACATTGCCCAGTTGAATGGCCCTAATGCTATCTTAAAAGTGTTTCATTTCAATTTTTTATTTTTTTTAAATATTTTTTTAATGCATAAAAGAACTGGGTACCGGCCACAGGAACAGGATGTGCGAGGCTTCACTAGAGTAGGGAACAGAACAGGTGGATTGACTGAAATACACTACTGTGGGGAGCTGTAGGTGAGACAGAAGAGGTCTGTTATGTCATGTGGGTCAGACGCTCCTTGGCTGAGGTTCAAACTCTGGTGCAGTGGCTGCGAATAGCTTCATATTGTGTTGAGCCTTAACCCGTTGCACCACCAGGGAGGCCCTCATCTCAATTTTTTTATTGAAGGAATTTATGTACGTGCCTCTGAGAAGGCTTGAACTCCATTTAAATTGTTTTTCCTAAAAGTAAAAACCAAAAAAGGATTTTTTTTAGTTAACATAAAGCACTGTACACACACCTCTCATAGGAAACCTAAAAAAGTTGTCCACTTTGTGTGACAGAAAATGGAAAGAAATTCGGAGCATTCATTTCAGTGAGATTGTGTTAAGATAACCATAATTTAGTGCCCAGAGTCCTATTAATTCCTGTTTCTAGAGCAAAATGGTGCCACAAAAATTGGACAGATAATATCTTTTTTACCAGGTTTACATAGATCAGTCCTTTATGAACTCTATGGATGGATTAAATGTGCAATAAAGTCCCTTCAACATCAGAGACCTATAACTCTATAATTAAAGCTTGTGGTAAAGACAAGTTTTCTGTGTTCCTTTTACATCTGAGGAAAAAAAAAACCTGCAATGCTGCCCTAAATTACTGTACCTATACCAAACCAGAACAAAATTTACATTTAGATTCCTAGCTCTACAGCATGAATAAAGAACACAAGACAGTTTTTGGAAGGATCTAGTGTCATTCCTTGAAAACCTATTCAGGTAATTGCTCTTTGTGGAAGTAACTGCCGTAGGCTGACTCCTCTGCTCTTTGTTCTGCCCAGAAGCATTCGTATAGTTCCTGTAATGTGGCCATTGAATTTCATTACTGTTCAGTTTCAATGGTAAAGTCCCTGACTTCTTTCCAAGTGGTATTGAAAAGGCTCATTCATTAATGTTTTTAAAGACTTTAAATACCCTTGACAGAAATTACAACATTCATGAACTGAACTCTTCCCCCAGGAAGTTGTAAAACTGCAGAGGGATGCCTCTGGAGTTCTGCTGCCATGGTTTCCATGTGTGTAGGAGGATTGTGTCAGACTGGCTATCACTAACCACACAGTCCTAAGAAAGCCCATTGCAGAAAAATTCAGGCCTTTCATATCGTAGAATAGACAAGGTCTCTCAGAAGTATAAAAGTTCAAGAGCTACAAAGAGCACAGTGACCAAAATAAACACAAAAAGAACATTAAAGTCAACTTACTCCAGTAGCCTTCAGAAGATTAGAACACTGATAACAGTGTTAAGAACTAGACAGTTAATGAGTGTGATCAGCAGGAGATCCTTGCCAATCTTTGCTGTCCATCCTGCTGATCAACATCTTTGGGGTGGGCAAAGTATGAAAGGAAGGAGCAGTACGCTTAGAGTTAGGAGTCCTGGGTCTAGCTAGCCCCAATGCAAGTAAGCACATGACCTTGGGCAATTCAGGTCACCTTTTGGGTCTTAATCTCTTTATAAAAGGAAGAAGCTGAACTCTAAAGTCCATCCCTAGATATGTGATTTAACTAAGAAACTGGGAAGGAACATATCTTGGGAACTGAGCTGCTCAAAAGGAGTGATCAATGTAAGTGACCCAATAAGATGCCTGAGTGGGCAGGAGTAAGGTGAGGCCACTGAGCATCTCTAAAGGAAGTTAAGTGTACAGACACCAGGGTTAATGGAGCTTCCTGGTGTCAGAGGAACAATGAGGAGCAAACTCTCAGCTGGTATATGAAGTTAGGAGTAGACCCACCCTCATCTTCGTACTGACCAGATCTCAGACACCAAGGATTTTAACTCCCAGTATACTGATGTCGTTTTTGGAGTTTGTGTGGAGTCCTTAGTTCACTCTGGGATAAGTTTCACCAGAGCTCCCCTTTCAACGGCACGTGGCAAATTTCTCCGCAAGACTGAGACTCAGTTATATTTAGCAGTTTGAGGAAACTCCAGTTTTCCATTGTGGTTGTGTAACTGGGTAGTCCATAGGCAAAGGGGATGTTTCAGTAACCCTGCCCCACCCAGAAGGAGGGTGGAGCTGAGCAGAGAAAAGAAAAGAGAAGGAATCTGAGGAGGAAGGAAGAAGGATGGAGAACCAGAAGGAGACCTGAGGAAGCCACATGGAGCAAAGGGAGACATGTGAAGAAACCGTGTTTATCTCTTGGCTCTGGACTGGTTGAAAGATATGTGGGTGAGAGACCAGTGGCGAGGTTCACTATGACAGAGTTTATACTGATTTTCATGTTGCTCTTTTCCTCCCAGACTTGACTGGCCATTTCTCACCCTTTCCTATGAGTCCCAGCCAGAAGGTGCTTTAGTCTTGTGGCAGGCTTTCAGATCTTGCTTTGGACCAATCCCTTTTGGGTTGACTTTTGCCCATGAGGGGATGGGTAAATTCAGTTGTTTGATTTAGAAATTATATTCTTTGTCTTCTGTATTGTATACTCATTGTATTAAAGTTCCTTTTCATTAAAGTCTTATATGTTTTGTCTTGATGCAGTGGATGGCAGAAATTATTTAGAGCAGGCAGGTTTAGGGGTCCAGTGGTAACCCTCTCTTCCTGCCCTGTAACAGATGTACTAGTTTGCACTCCCACCACTATATTTAAAGAGCAGGTTTATTAGGGAATAGGATCGGAGTATTGGACACTTGCATAGGCACAAGTGGGCAAGGAAAGATGCCCCAGAAGAGACAAGTTCGCAGAGAGAGGCCTGCATGGTTGCAGACCGGAGGCTTTTAGGAATGGCCTCCATTGAGGGAGGTAAGTGCACAGAGGCCCCGGCATGGTGTAGGTCATTGGCAGGCAGAAGTCTGCTGCCCTGCAGAGGGAGAGAGTGTCTGGGAAGAAGTACCTGCATAGTCACAGGTGGGCAGAGGAGCAGCTGCTCCGGGCCAGTGCAGAGACTGCCCTCATATAGACATCTTCTCTTTTGGAAGAGCTCACTTCCTATGAGTGTAGGTTTGTCAATTTTGAATAGAATCTGAAAGGAACAGGAGATCCCACAATGGGCTCAATTTTCAGATCTTTATCTTTCACCTTTGGGGTCTCTAGACACTTCCCTCAGCAGTCTGCTACTGTTATAGGGCACCCCCAAATCTGTTACAGGACAGAATCTGTTCCAAGACAAAATCTATTACAGGACAGGAGGAGAGGGGCACCCCTGAGCCCCTAGACCTGCCTGCTCTAAGTGGGTTCTGCCATCCGCCACATCAAGACAAAACATACATAACTTTAATGAAAAGGGACTTTAATACAGTAAATATACAATATGGAACACAAAGAATATAACTTCTAAATCAAACATCTGAAGTTACCCATCCCCTCGTGGGCAAAAGTCAACCCAAAAGGGATTGGCCCAAAGCAAGGCCTGAAAGCCTGCCACAAGACTAAATAAAGCACCTTCTGGCCGGGACCCATGGAAAAGTGTCAGAAATGGCCAGACAAGTCTGGGAGGAAAAGAGCAAAATCAAAATCAATATAAACACTGCCATAGTCACCTCCCTACAGGTTTCTCACCCACATCTGCCTTAACCAGTCCAGGGTCAGGAAACAAGCCCGGTTTCTTCATCACATGCTTGCTGCTCCATGTGGCTTCCTCAGGTCTCCTTCTTGTTCTCAATCCTGCTTCCTTCTCTTCTCTCTTCTCTTCTGATTCCTTCTCTTCTGTCCTTTTTCTCTGCTCCGCTCCACCCTCCCCTTGCGTGGGGCAGGGAACCTGGAACTTCCCCTTTTCCTAGGAACCACCCTGTTACACTACCAGTTTGGATC